AACTGCAGCACAATGCTGCTGCAGCACTTTGATGTTTTCACGTGGTTTTATGGCCTCATTTAAAGGTGGAAATTAGGCACGTACCTGAAGGGACTGGTGAAACGGCTTGAACTTGTTTTTGATTGAGTTAGTGTGACGTTACGGTAATAAAAACAAATTGTGTGCATTCACTACAATTCTGGAAGTGAGGTTTTGGCTCATCTTCAAATTTAGATGGATCTTCTTATTAGAGCTCGGAAAATCTAATCTGAAGGGAAAACATGGTGTTTGTATTATTTATAATTATTTATGTATTTATTTATTTATTTATTATTTAGTTTGAACACACATTTATGCACATTCATGAGTATATATATATATATATATATATATGTGTGTGTGTGTGTGTGTGTGTGTGTGTGTGTGTGTGTGTGTGTGTGTGTGTGTGTGTGTGTGTGTGTGTGTGTGTGTGTGTGAGAGAGAGAGAGCGCGATGATGATTGATGGATGGATGGATGGACATATATATATATATATATATATGTATATACATATATATATATATATATATATACATATATATATATATATATGTGAGAGAGAGCGATGATGATGGATGGATGGATGGATGGATATATATTTGAGAGAGAGAGAGCGATGATGATGGATGGATGGATATATATATATATATATATATATATATATATATATATATATATATATATATATATATATATATATGAGAGAGAGAGTGATGATGGATGGATGGATGGATATATATATATATGTATATGAGAGAGAGAGCGATGATGGCTGGATGGATGGATGGATGGATATATGAGAGAGAGAGCGATGATGGCTGGATGGATGGATGGATGGATGGATGGATGGATATATGAGAGAGAGAGCGATGATGATGGATGGATGGATATATATATATATGTATATGAGAGAGAGAGCGATGATGGCTGGATGGATGGATGGATGGATATATGAGAGAGAGAGCGATGATGATGGATGGATGGATGGATATATATATATATATATATATATATATATATATATATATATATATATATGAGAGAGAGAGTGATGATGGATGGATGGATGGATATATGAGAGAGAGAGCGATGATGATGGATGGATGGATATATATATATATGTATATGAGAGAGAGAGCGATGATGGCTGGATGGATGGATGGATGGATATATGAGAGAGAGAGCGATGATGATGGATGGATGGATGGATATATATATATATATATATATATATATATATATATATATATATATATATATATATATATATATATATATATATATATATATATGTATATGAGAGAGAGAGCGATGATGATGGATGGATGGATGGATGGATGGATGGATGGATGGATGGATGGAATGACACATGACCTGACATAGAATTTTTTTTATGTGAATTATATTATATAACTGCTTGCCATGCCTGCAGCATGTTGCTTCCTGCTTCCTGCTTCTGCTGCAGATTGACCAGGATTGAAAACTAACAGTCAGATGTTTGAGCTTTGAGCCGTGTTATCCACAAGCACTCTGTCTGGTGCAAAGATCTCTCTGTAGGACCTTCCTCTGATCTGTTTCTGTCCCAGCTTTAAGCTAAAATGCAGGTAAACTAAACAAGTAGTACGCAACCAAACCTGATTACAGCATCAAAATGTATCCACCCTTTATTTTATATCTTTATATGTTCATGTCATTCCTTAAGCTCCTCAGGTGTACACGTTTGGGGGAACTCCAGTTGAGGAATTGGCAGACTTGTCTGAGGAGTGACCTTTCTTGATCATCTCAGTCAGCATCCAAACAATCAATCTGGGACTGCCTGCGCGCTCCACGGGATACTTTTTTCTCACACGTTCTATCGCTCTCTATCTCCGTGTTTGTACTTTAGCTTTTATAACATGGATGTAGACATATCTGCTGGATCAGCAGGGCACATAAAACTACAAATGTGAGGATGCAGGAGTGGGATAAGGTCAGAACAAAAAGCTGTTTTCTGTTTAGCGAGAAATTCATCACTTGAGATATTTTAGTGTTGTCTGGTGATTCTGCTGCAACTGTGAGAGAAGGAAGGGGCAAAAAAAGGAAGGAAGCAATGGAATTTGTTGTTTTTGTTTTTTTTTTTTTAGTAAGAAAGAAAGAGAAACCCCGGCAGGACAAGATGGGAAAATATGAGATGAGAAAGTCAAAAGGCGACCCTGATGAAATAAAGAAGATGGGGGAAAAGAGCCGAGGGAGGGTTAGGTTTCTGAAGCCAGATAATATCAGCTGTGTACACTGGAGACGGGCGAGGAGAAGTTTTGAAGAAATGGAGAGAAGAAGGGAAGCGGAGGGGTGGGAAGTGCAGGACTCAGTGGGGTGGAGCATAAATACAGCCGGGATTATAAAGTCACTCTGTTCTGCTTTCTGCTCCCATCTCTGATGACAGAACACAGAATGAGGCTTACTACTGAGTTATGCATCCCAAACAGTGTGTGTGTGTGTGTGTGTGTGTGTGTGTGTGTGTGTGTGTGTGTAACCCTTCCCATTCATCACAAAGTGAGTGATTCAGTTACAGCTTGCCTTGTCCTCTGTGATGACTCCCAGAACCGCGGACCTCATGCTATATGCTCAAACTCTCTTAATACTAATTAAAGCTCATTTTTCTTCTCAGATTTACACTCACGCACGCTGAAACACACAAACCTGTGCGAGTGCACTGCTTCAGTTAGTAATAGCAACATGGCCTGCGTCCAAAACTTGATTCCACTTATCAAAATAAATGATAAAACACCTTGAGAGTCAATAACAAGCCAATGAGGCTCTAATTCATATCAGCAAGTTGGTAGCTGTCTAAAATGTCTGGACGAATGAGTCTCCATCAGAGCCTTTAAACGCTCACAAGCCGAACGACGTTGTAACAAATCCGCGCCTTACCCGAGACGCCACTCAGGTTTATTGAGACGGTATCGATTTTGCGCCACAGCAGAAGAAATAGCACCACCTTACAGTAAATAGCATAACTATGTATTTAGACTTGATCCAAACAACAATAAATATCTCTGAATTTTAGCTAAGCTGATGCAGTCACCCACTTGCTGAGTGGTCCCCGTCAAGCCCAGCCAAGCACAGTGCGAATATTTGATTGGTATAAAAGCGTGTTGTTACATCGCAGTGAAATAAACAACAGCCGCGTTCTGATGCCACTCATATTAAAGATGGTTTCTGTATTTGAAAACAAAGAAAAGTTGGAAATAACTTGGAATGAAACACAAAAATATAATTAATGAAGTTTGAGTTTCTTGTCTGGATCTGTCACTTCTGTTACCAGACCTTGCATAAGTAGATCGACCAACAGAACAACCGACAGACAGCTAGACCGACTGACCGACCAACAGATCAGCTGACAGACTGTCAGATAGACCTACAAACCAACAGATATAAAAATTAGGTTAATTTTGTCATCATGATGAATTAATATTCCTTTTTTTGTAAGACAAACATTTTCAACTGTCAGCAGGTATGAAAAAACAGCTTCAAACGAACCACAACGTTTGTCTTACTAAAATTAAAAAAAGGAACAGTAGTCTATCATTAAAGGTCTAATCCCTAAACGTTACCCACACCACTTACAGTCAAAAACAAATCATCAGCATATCTGACAACTGCAACTAGCATTAAGCACTCTGTCAGTCAGTCATTGAAATCCATCCATCCATTTTCTGAACCCGCTTTGTCCATGTAGGGTCGCGGGGGGGCTGGTGCCTAACTCAAGCGGTCAACGGGCAATCAGGCGGGGTACACCCTGGACAGAGAGCCAGTCCATCGCAGGGCAACACAGAGACACACAGGAAAAACTATCATGTACACACACACACACACACTCACCTAATGACAATTTAGACAGCCAATAAACCTAACAGTCATGCTTTTGGACCGTGGGAAGAAGCCGGAGTACCCGGAGAGAACCCACGCATGCACAGGGAGAACATGCAAATTCCATGCAGAAAGATCCCAGGCCGGGAAGCGAACCCAGGACCTTCTTGCTGCAAGGCAACAGCTCTAACCACTGCGCCACTGCGCAGCCCCTTAGTCGTTGAAATCTAAAAAATAAACCCTCAAAAAGGCCAGATAAAGAGAAATGATTAATGACCTATGCACCTCTCCTCTTTTCCTCCAATGCCCCAGCTCATACTATCAAAGATGAGGTTGGCTAATCAAAGAGTGTGCTGTTTTTTTTTGGCTCAATAAATATATAAGTGATTGGTATAAGTGGCATTCTATCTTGACCCATCTGCGTTTTGGATTCAAGCTGAGCATCAAAGAAGAATTGATTCATACGGCAGTTTTCTGAAAACCTAAGGCTGTCCGGTTGAGTTGTTGGCCAACAGAGCTCCTTCCCTCCTTCCCCCCTCCGATGTGTATCAGAGTAGGACTGTCCTCTCTTGTGACTCTCTTGTGAGCAGAATCCAATGAATGAGGGTGAGCGTGCTCGAGTGTGTGTGTGTGTGTGTGTGTGTGTGTGTGTGTGTGTGTGTGTGTGTGTGTGTGTGTTGAACAAAAAAAAAAAAGACTGTAACCTGCTGACCTCTAAAATTAAACCTCAGCCAAAACCTTTGACCTCTGATCTAAGAACAGTGCAGGAAGTGCATTTACTGATTAACATTGGGGCAGCAGTAGCTCAGGTGGTAGAGCGGGTTGCCTCATGATCGGAGGGTCATGGGTTCGATTCCAGCTCCCGCCAGGGGTATCCTGCTGTTGTGTCCTTGGGCAAAACACTTCACCCAGCTTGCCTGTGTTAGTGATGGCCAGAGGGGCCGACGGCGCCAAATGGCTGCCTCGCCTCTGTCAGACCTCCCCAGGGCGGCTGTGGCTACAAGTAGCTTACCATCACTAGCAGTGTGTGAATGTGAGAGTGTGTGGAAAGCGTCTTTGGGTGTCTAGAAAAGTGCTATATAAGTTCAATGCATTATTATTAACATTCATGACACCGACCTGCTGCTGTTACCTTTTAGTGGCTGACCTCTGCAGGCCTTGGAGGTCCTGTGAAGTGCAGATGAGCAGTTATTGCAATATCAATTCAAATCAAAATGAACAGTAAGTATACCTTTAGCCTCTGTGTGTATAAATTGTAGACTTGTTGACCTTAGCGCGGTCTAATAGTTCGTGTAGTAAGCATCCTAACACAGCAAATGCAGTTCAGTTGAACAGTCAATAAATCTGGAACAGTGCTACTCTGAGGACCACTTGGGCACCAATAATAAACTGGATTTTTGCCCAGTTTGAGTGAAAATGTTTCTGAAAGTCATCCAAAAGCAATTTTGTTTCTAGTCACCCCACGGCTTTCAGCTTATTATCCAAATTGGTTGAAAAGGTTGAGTTTTGCCTTTTGTCTCCAATGTTAATACTGCTTCATAACATGGGTTATTTTTGATTGAAAAGACAAGATGGAGTTAATCAGATCTTTTAAAGGAGTCTATATGAATTCATGTCTTGTGAGTTGTTTTCAGTGGAATAAAAGCTCTGGTGCTCCTGTTTCAGGGGATAGAATTTTGGCAGAGGACTAGGGGTGGGGTCATATGCAAACATCTTGCCTCCGATTGGCTAACAGGAACATGACTCTTCTGCTGCCTTCGTTTGCTCTTCTTTCTAGAATAAAAAAATGCAACTTTGACGTTTTACGTCCACAAATACACAAGAACGAACCTGTTCCACCGTGTTGTTGAGATGCAAATGCTAACCGTTAGCTTCTATTAGCTGAAACGTGCTCTGCTCTCTCCTGGCTGCTAAGTCAACACGGCCTCTACCGGTTACAAGCAAAGATGGGTCCAAGAATGCAGATCTGTACAACCTATTTTCCCACTCAGTATGCAAATGCAACTCAAAGTGTGTGATCGTGTTAAAAAAACGAAGAAGTACCACACGGTTTCTCAGTAAACCTCACCTGCTGAGGCCAATGAAGTTGCTTATAGTGCAACAAAAATCTAAATACATGAAATCATTTCTACATATTGCCAATTTACAGATTTCATAAGTTTGACATTGCTTTATAGTGACTGGGAGTAAAGTCCTGCCAGCTTCATACGAACATCATAAAGACCTAACCTTAACCTCCCTTCAGATGAGGTGGTGGAAGGTTTTGTCTTACTATCATGCATCCAGTTCATTGTGCAACAATGCCAATTTGTTTTTGACATGGTCTAATATGTTTTTTCATTTCTGGGGATGATTGGGGGGGCACATCCTAGTGCAGAGGGACAATGAACCTGCAGACTACAACAAACTGAAAACCCTCCATCTTACCTTTCCCGTCCAAATATCTAAGAGAAATTATACTGTCGGCAAAAAATGTGCACAAGTCCTATTAGGCTACGGGTTTAAAGGTTAGGGTTAGGTTGGTTTTGGTAATTGTTAAGACATGCATCCCCAGACATTACTGACACTTTAGTTGAGCTTTATAAAAGTTAAACTGGAAATAAAGCCTCAGCATTGGGTTTTCATTTTTATTTTTATTTGTGGAGATCATTTCAGACACCAGTGTAGTTCCTGGAGAGCCACAGTGGGTCCCAACCCCAACTTTGGGAGCCAGTGGGGTGGAGTTGGGGATCATGGTTAGAGGGTTTGCATTAAGGGTGTAAAAGAGGTTAATTTACATCTAATTAAGGACCCGTGAGACAAAAGATTCATAGGGAATATGAAATCAATCTTACGGACCGCTGGGTTATTTAACCAGAAGATTGGAACTTTTTATTGCAGGGATTATGTAACACTTTGTATTGACTGAAAGACGAGAGAAGAGGGAGACCTTTAAAATGTTTAAGATGATTTATTTCTAAACATTCTCAAAATTTGAAAGCTGTCAAAACCATAAACTTATGTTCCCTGTTTAATATCATGTGATTCTTTGTTAGACTGTTTTGTTTTCCCATGGAAACCCCCTGACATTGTGCTTGTTATTTCTTTGTACTTGTATTATGTGCTCTGTCAATAAAGTGTATTCAAGAAAAAAATAAATAAACGGGACACACTTCTTTCCTGCAAATTCTATTTCACAGGTGTTGCTAATACCTATGATCCTTCAAGGGATGTGCTCGAAGAAGAGTTCAACATTATGAATAAAATAAAGTGTTTTATTTTACAAATACCATTATAAACACAAACTTACGTCGTAAGAAACATTTTTTAATAACGAAACTGCTAAATTCTTTCCAACAGTATAGATGTGTAGTGTATTTTGTCCGAGTGGGTTTGTCGTACTTTGACGTCATCGGCAGTCGAAGGACCCCGAGCAGATCTTGTACCAACAGCGGACTGAGCTCGATATCATTAACCCAGCACAGCCACTGGGTCGTTGGAGCTGCTCCGTGACTGCCTGATGGAAAACCAGCGGGTTTCATCAGACTCGTAAAGTTTCTTGTTTTTGCTGGGGACCCCCTGTATTTTACCGCTCCCTCCTGCAGTCTTCCCCTATTAAAATTAAAATGATTCTGTAAATTCTGTGTATCAATAGAAACAATCTCTGCCTCTGCAGTAAATGTAGTTTCCAAATAATAAATAAGAGGTGCATTCATCTGTGGATCTCCTTCGATCCGCATTAGTGATATTCTCAGCACCAGAACAGTGAAGCAAAGAAACAGATTCCTGAGTTTATGTTAGTGATTTTATTTATTAGGTGCATCTAACCTGTTCATTTCTTTCTCTGAAATGAGATCAAATCAGTGCTTCTATGGGTTGTCTCCTCTGCACTGGAAAATTTTACTTTATTTAGAGACGTGTCATAATTTCTCCCCAAGCTCCCGGCCTAAAGTTAGCTTATGGGCCATTCCCATCTGTACCGGGTCGGCCCGGGCCGGGAAGCGTAGGTTGTTTACATATCTGGGTGGCCTGGTATTTTTCCCGGCCAACCAAGGCTCATTCTCAGCCCTCTTCTCGAGGGGGTCTGCTTCAGGCCGACCAGGGCCAACACACCCACTGCTGACAGCAAATGCACACCTTCCATTAGAGCAAGCCTCTGATTGGTGGGTAGAATCAGCCCACATGGGCTTAAGACAAGGATGTGTGGAATCACCCGGGCCAGGCTGGGGCCGACTGGGGCTACCCGGCCCGGGCCGACCCGGTACAGATGGGAAAGGCCCATTACTATCAGGTAAAGTTGTTGGAGAAAGAAAGGGAATATTGACTATCATCTCACACTAAACACTAACAGGAACAATACTCTGCCCTGAAAATGCTTATTATGTAGCTTCAGATTAAAAATTATGTGGTACAGGACAAATATATATGATGTTGACAAATGCGTGTCATGTGTGTGTGCGTGCGCGTGAGTGTGTGTGTGTGTGTGCGTGCGTGCGTGTGTGTGTGTTAAGCCCCGAACCTTCTTCAATCCTTAATCCGCCCCTGCCACAGAGACTATGCCGCGTTTCAGAAAGGAAGGTTCCGATTGGATCAGTAACAGCAATGTGTCGTGCGTTTACATTACGTGTAGTCAGCATGTCTAGTGCACTAGATTAAGTCATATTACTTATTAAAGAACACCCTGGTTGGGTTGGGGTCAAAGTTTGGAGTTAGACAATTAGAGAGAGATAGCCAAAGTTTGTGTTAATTTAGGTTTTAAAATGAAAAGGCCCATAGATTAAACTTCTTTTGTCGATGGAACACATTCTTCATCCAAAACACTTGTTTTTCTCTGAAATTCAGGCACCTTGTGTGACATTTCTCCTCTAAAGATCGCCCTGCAGTCAGAATCAGAGTCATTGACTCGTTTACTGGTTCACATTTCTGACCTCACTTCGCCTCAATAACACAACAGAACTTTACATACGAGAAAATAATTGACTAAACGTTTTAGAATAGGTGTGAAAAGCATTTGTTTACGCCCAAATTTTCAGCTCATGAACTCTAAATACTGACTGTAAGAGCAGGACGCATTACTAAGAGAAAATCGCAACAACAAAAAAACACATAAACAAAGGAAAGCACAAGGAAACTTGAAGGTTGAGTCTTTCCCATCCTAAACTGACCCTTAGGAATAAAATCCGCCAAAAAGGAACATTAAATTTGTCACACTGTCTAGAGAATGTTTCTTCAACTCTTTTTTCCTCCCCTCACAGCTCTCCGAGTGGGTGACAGCATATTATAGGTGTAAGATTTGACTTTCCAAGTGATAGCGTCTAGCTCTCATCTTCAGCCGTGATCTCCTTTAGAGCGTCACATTGAAATGTTGTCATTTTAACGCCCCTGAATGAACTGTTTCGTCTCCTTGCCACTCACACCCATCCCGCAGAGTTTCACCCGACGTAACGCACGTTCCACTGCTTTCCTTCTTTTAAAGGAAACAGGAGTGTATAAATAGATTTCCCCTCATTCTTTCTCGGTAATTATAATCCACAACATTTCAATCATCACACATTCTGTTCGTGAGCGCTGAAGCCGCGGTGTTTATTCAACCGCCTTTCCTTTGTGTTTAATACAAGCTCTTTGTGAACAGGGCTTGTATTAAAAATGTCAATCAGCCGTCACACACACACACACACACACACACACACACACACATAAAATACATTTTAAGAGATTGCCGGGAGCAGTGCAGTGGCGTGTCCAGATCTTTTAAAATGGGGTGGCCCAGGTGAGGCACAACTTTGTGCATGGGTGGCACCAATGGTTACGCTTTTATTGATTTACCCCCAAGTCTTTTGTGGACAAGGAAAAGCCTATTTAAAGAGCAAGTCACCCCCAAATCAACATTTTTTGCTGATAAACTGTATAAATGTGTGTCTAATTGTGCTGCAGACACGTGTCGTCAATAATTTGGTACCTCAGTGCATCTTAGTTAAAATTTAAATATTCTGCCTAAAACTCAGTGTTGCGCCGTCGTCAGGTAAAAACTCTGCACTGCATTTGAATTTAAATCTGCCACCGCTATTGGCTAAGAGGTATGCTATGATGTAAACTGGTACATTATGATGTCACAATGCCTGTGTGTGTGTGTGTGTTTGTTAGTGGCTCCGCCCTCTCGGTCTGCTAGGCAACAGCATTTGTTGCAT